TTTTTTCTTTCAACACTTTGAATATGTCCTTCTACTACCCTCTATGTTGCTGATGAGAAGTCAGCTGTTAATTTTATTTTTATTTCCTTGTGCAAAATGAGTTGTTATTCTCTTGTGGCCTCAAACTTTTCTTGTTGTCTTTGTCTTTCAGTCTAAGTTATGGCTCTTTTCATATTTGTTCTACTTGAGGTTTACTGACTTTCTTTGTTTTGTAGATTAAGGTTTTTATCGGATTTGGGAAGTTTTAAGACATTGCTTCTTCAAATATTTTTTCTATACTCTTATCCCTTTCTTTCTGGGACTCCCAATATATATAAATAGGTATTTTTTTTATACTTTCCCATAACTCTTTGAAGCTTTGTTCATTTTTCTTCAACCTTTTTTCTTTCTATTCTTTAGACTGGATAGTTTCTATTGGTCTGTGCTCAAGTTCACTTATTCTTTGTTCTACCATCACAAATCTACCATGGAACCCATGTAGTGGATTTTTAAATTGTTGTTATTATGTTATTCAACCCGAAAATTTTGCATTGGGTTCTTTTTCATAATTTCTTTTTCTCTGTTGAAAGTCCCTATTTGTTGAGTCATTTTCCCTTTAAGTTTTAAAACATCCTTATATTAACTATTTTGAATTAGCTATCTACTAAAACCGACAAGTGGGGCCACTCAGAGCATATACTGGCAGCTTATTTTCCTGAATTTTGGTCATACTTTGCTGTTTGTTCACATCTCATAATTTTTGTTAAAAATTTGGCATTTTGGGTAAAACTTTGTAGCAATTTTGGATAACATCTGATTTTCCTCTTCAGAAGTTTTTTAATTGCTAGAACTTAAACTTCAGACTCTGTTTCTCCTGCATTATGTGGCCACTGATGTCGCTAATGAGATTTATTTTTATTTCTTTAGCCTGGTTCCTAAAAAATTAGTGTAAATATATAATAGAAATATGAGTTCTAATATCTTCTTCCCATACTAATGGTGGTAAAATTATTCTACCCTGAAAAAGCAATTATATGCTAATTCTCCCAAAGTTATTCTCTTATCTCCAACTTCAAAGGATAAAAACTAAGAACTGAGAAACACAGGGCTTGACTGGGAGAGGAGGGAGTATAGACAGCACACTAAGTAAAACTCTTTCACCCAACTTAGGTTGACAATATTTGATACTAGATAGGTGAATCATTTTTTGTCCTTTGCTTATTAGAAAAGTTTTAGACTGTTACTCTCACAGTCCAACAAGTCATAACATATCTTTTCTTTTGTTGTAAACTATTTACATAATTCTTAAAATGAAGCCTTATGATTACAAGGAATAGAGTTTCACTAAAGGCAAACCAGGAAAAGAAGAGTGTATGGATGAATTCAGGAAAGAGAAATCTCATTAAACAATTAAAAAAGAAAAGAAGTTTATTTAAGTACAGCTTCATGAGAAGAATAGTGTAGGGGATGAAAAGCACTTTTCCTCTATCCTCCTAGGTTGGGTGATTGGGGACCCCAAATTAAACTAACAAAAGATAGGTTGACAAGAGAAGGGGAAAACAGCAAAAACAGATTTAATTACATGTGCATGCAGGAGTTCACAAAGAAATGTGACTCAAGGAGGCAGTTAGAATTTGGAATTTATATACCACATGCACAAAGGGGATCAAGTGGAGGACAGGCTAGAAAAAGGAGAAGGGGTTTGGGACTTCTTGTAGAGGGTGAAAGGGAAATGTTATGAGAAGGTGACTAGAAAATGTATAGTAAATAAGGGTTGTTTAATAAGGTTTGTTATGTGCGTGAGAGTTCTCTCAGGTAATAAGAGTTATCTCTAGAGTACTTTTCTGATACTAAAGAAGGAGATAACTTTAAAAATGGAAGTTTGTGGCCTGCTTTTAAACAAAAAAGGGAGAGGCAAAGAAAAAATAGCATTTCCTATATCTGCTCTTTCTCAATTGCTTGCAGCTCAAAATAATCCTTAAGCCAAAGTGGCATGTTTTGGTCCCTTCAATAGGAACCCAGAAAATATCAGGACAAAGGCAGCTACTCTCTCTGGTTCGCTTGTTGTCGCCATTTCAAATTCCCAGGTGAAGGATCTGAATGGCATCACTACAAGTTAGGGGTGAAGGTCAGTCAATGGATTGGCTACAGAAATCAGGTCTCCACAGGGGCTGATGCCATGCCAGATGCGTCATCATGAGGCATGCAGGTCTGCCTCCTTCAGGGCTGTGGATATAGGTCTAAGAAACATGTCTGTTACACATACCAGATGTTTGATGTCATTCTGATTTTATGAAGTTGTTAAATTCTCATGATCCTGTGGTATTCTCAGAGACAGAGCAATCTAGACATTTCATGTGGGAAAAAAAATTCATGTAACCCTTATTTAATTTGTTTGACAAAGCTGAGCTTCAACTGTTTTCCCTCACACATTTTATAGTTTTAGCCCTAACCATGATAGCTTCATGCCAAAGCATATGCAGCCAGCCCTCCTCACTGGATGCTTCCCTCTAACCTGGTAGAGATAAAATCTGAGGGCTTTCTCTCTTTGGAGACTAAATAGCAAAATCTCTGCTCTATTCTACCATACTTTACCTCATTTTTCCACACTAAACATCACATTCCATCTTCTTCTAACTAGCTCTCAACAATCTGATTCCATTTTTTTCAGTTAGAATCAAATTCTTCCAAGGATTAATGAATATCATTTTTTCTTAATGTGGAAGGCCCTTCAGTAGTCTAAGGCAGTGAGGGACACAGTCATGACCCAGATGTGAATTCTATCCTCTAGGGGTGAAGGTTCACACTCAAATAACTACAACACAAGATGTAGAGCATCAACTATCACAACAATAGAGTAAAACAGAAATCATCCACTCCAGAAAAGTCTTTCCAGGTAATCATAGGGCTAGGCCTCTAAGGGGGAGAGGATTTCCATATTCAGAGATTCGGGCTGGGGGTGGGGCCCACCCAATCCTGAAACCAACAGAGCAGAACTATCATTAAGCCCTAGCAACCCTCCTCAGGCTCAGTTTTTTCGACTGGTCTCTTTCCCTCAATCACCACCTACTTCTGTTTTAGCATTCTTCCTTAAAAGCAAAACCCCAAACTGTCAGTATCAGTGTACTTTTTGGAGCTTTTATTTACACTGCTTTATCCTCCTCCATAGACATCTAAGAATGAGGAGAAACATAGTGTTCCTACTTTCCCCCTACCTCTTCCTTGCTGCTTCTGCTGTTTTTAAAGGAACTTACTACTGACCATTATGAGCTAATATGAACATAACATTGGAAAGTTACAAAGTTTTCATAATCTTAAAAGGTTCAAGTTGACTTCTTTCTGAGCTGGTAATTGAAAAATTCCTTGGCTTTCTTCTGTTTACTTTTGTTTTTTTGAGCTAGACTCACCAAACCTCTTTAGTCTTTCTAACCTTGCCCTAGGCCCCTCAGAAAGCCTAAGCAGACCCTGATCCATACCTACTTCCTAACACTTTTCCTAAGGTAGTATGGCTAACTGTTTACATCTTCGGCTTTTCAAACAGGTCATTTGCATTTCTGTGTTTCCTCAAGCTAGGTGACAACTGTTACCATCCTTCACTGGAAATTTGGAATAGGGTCATTGCAATTTACAAGCAAAGGACTTTTTTTCTTTCTTTCTTTTTTTTTTTTTTTTTTTAATAAGAGAGAACTTAAGTAGTAAAATAAGCTAGGCTTTTAAGGAGAACAGCACAATCTTCAGAATCATTTCAGTAATATTCAAGAGACAAAACATTGGGGGTGAAAAAGCAGAAGCCTCAAAAAATTCCCTTCAGACTGTTTCTTGGTGAAAGGAAAGGAGTAGATGGGAATGAAGGTAGGATAGAAGGAAGGTGGTTTTACAAAAGGTTATATATTTGGAAGGCATAGGAAGAATCTTTGGAGGAGAGGTGCAACACATAATCTTAGAGAGAAATTATAAACAATAGAGCAAAATTCTAGAGGAGAGAGGTTGGCCTTTTTTTAGGAGCACAAGTGGAGTGATGTATAAGCTGAAAAGAGAAATGTAGACACCTCTTCAAAGCCAGGACCTAAGTAGGTAAAAATGTGTGAAAATTAAGACAGGTTTAGAAAAGTTAAGTTGAGGAACTTCATAGTGGATCCTTCAGTCAAGTGTTAAGCAAGATCATTTGTGGAATTGCAGAAAGACCAAGTAAGGTGGGAGCTTGAGGAGAGGAGGACAGGTTTGGGAGAAGTGACCTGGATAATATGGCCAAATATGTGTTCTGGATAATCACCCTTCTAATGAGGAAAAGAATTTAGAAAGTCAGTGAAGATCCAGTCAAATCTGACATCATGAACTTTTAGTGGAATGAAGTGATTTCTTAACTGTATCCAGCAATGCATAGTAGTTCAGGAGCAAGATCAAAAGAAATTTTTCAACTAAATATAAAAATAAAGAAAAAAAATTAATGCTGAATGACAACTTATTTCAGGGGACATTATTCATGGTGGGTTTTAGAAACATTTTAATCATTACAAAATGAAATACACAATATCAAAATACTCATCAAACATGTTCTGAGAAAAATTCAAAAAAGGTTATTGGAGTAAAATAAGCTCCTTTTTTCCCCTTCTTTTCATGCTAGCCTAAGGGGGGAAAAATTCCATTAGACAACTTCTGTTCATTCAGTGTTACTGAAAGTTGAAAAACCCAAATCATTGTATTTTTTCAGTACATTAAAAATGTGTCTTATTTGTAACGATTTGCATTTTACTTGTCTTATTTGTAACAATTTGCATTTTACTTTTTCTTTTCTTTTTTTTTTTTTTTTGAGTTGGAGTCCCACTCTGTCACCCAGACTGGAGTGCAGTGGCCGCTCCTG